TTTAGTACGAAGCTACGCGATACTACGTTGATGTTAGCGGTATCGTCGAGTAGTATAGTAGTAGGGGTACGCCCCTTATATATCTCGACTTGTCCTTCGAGGACGTAGGTATAGTATACCTAGATAGGTAAGGGGGTATCGCTATCGAGATAGGCATCTAGAGCTTACGACTCTCCTCTAATACCTTCTCTTTTTTCGGCGCTTGCTCTTTAGGTACGGTAACCCTATAAACCGTATTCGCCTTGTCGCGGCTCGCGTAGTTAGGGTATACGGAGTTAGTCGCGATATATCCCTTCTTCTTATAGGAGTAATATTCTAGGTTCTCGTACTCTCGTACCGTCGACGTCGCTACGGTCGATAAAGTACGTCTATCGTATAGGGCCCTACTCTTGCTTCGATCCTATCGATCGTCGCGGCTTCGCGGTACGTCGCTCTCGGTACGCTTGCGTTTGCCCTACGCACTATAGTCGCGCCGATAAGGCTCGTCTTTAGTATAGACTACTAGCGCGTTGTCTACTTGCTCGAGGCGCCTTACTAGGTTTACGAGCTCTACTCGCGTATTAGAGATAGTATATCCCTTAACGATGTCCCTACGTAGCGACGGCTTTAACTTAGCGAGGAAGTAGCGTATTAGCTACGCCTACGTATAGTCAAACTAGGCTTCTAGATAACTGAGCTATACTACGAAATAACGGACGCTCTAGTCCGGGCCTTAATATACCCTTTTATACTCGATTATTACGCCGATCTAACGGTTTGACTAATCGCCGATAGTATTATAGAGCTATCCCTTGAATTCCTCCTAAGTATAGTCCTCGGGGATTACGTCGGAATGCTCGTCGTACTACGTCTCCTACGCTTCGCCTACAAGCTATATAATACTATATAGGACCTTGTCTTAGTCGGTTCGATATTCTCGGAGGGCGCTAAGGAAGACGACCTCGAGGTACCTAATAAAATTACGGCACTCTTTATCGGTATCTCCTTTAAAGGGCTTTAGTTCCCGAATCTTAGGACCCCTATATAGAGAATACGAGCTATATAGTAGGTTCGTAGCCTGTCTACGTACGTCGCGTAGGTCTATCGACCTAAGGTCTTCTTCGAGCCCGTTAAGAAGGTCGGGCTCGGCGTCGTCGTCTATAGTAACTATAATAGTTAGGGTTAGCACTCGGCCCTAAATTTGTTCCTATAGACGTTAGTTTTCCCTTTCGAGGGCCTAAACTTCTAACTCTATATAGAGACGCTAATTTGCCTCCTCGAGCTATATACGTCTAGTATACGGGTCGGCTACGTAGGCTTCCGGCTAGGTAGGAGCCTCCTCGAAAGGAGTCTCTCTTAGGTTCCCGTCTGCCTAGGTACTTATAGGGCCCGATACCGTCTCCTCGGAAGGTTAGGTATCTTCGTCTACTTCGCCGATAACGCGGCCCGCCTACGCTATAGCTACGGTACGGTCGCGTTGTTGTCGTAGGGCTATAGGACCTCTATAGATCACTACCCTTTAGAAGGATAGAAGAATTAGAAATATAAGAGTAGGGGTATATAGTAATGTATAGAGCGTCCTTCCTACCGCGTAGGAAAAGGAACAAACTAATTCTTGTTCTTCGGAAAGGAGAGAGCGGCGTCGTATAATATACCCCTACGCTAAGCATACGTAGGCGCTACGCCGCGCGGGCGGTCGCCTAATAGCCGATCGCCCGACGACTCGGATCGTACTGCTCCCGCAGCCTGTCCTGCCTTAGGCTAATATACCTTAGACTCAAATACCTAACCGCCCCCTAGGGCTATATGCCTCTAGGCCTAGCTGTTATATTTTTACCTACGTCCTTACTAGATAGGAGGGCTCTACGGTAGATATTATAGTACTTAGCTACGTAAGAGATATAGAGGGATTTAGTAGGAACCTTCCGAAGGAGAAGTACTACGTTGCAGACGCTAGATATATCTCGTCGGATATAATAATACTACTATTTGCCGGTAGGGTAAGGTATTATCTAAAAGAGTAGCTTTAACCTATAGTATCTGCTATATATACTAGTAGGCTACAAGCGGATTTGCGCCCTACGGACGAGAAGGAGTTATTTAATCTACGCTATTCCTTACTCCGTAATGTCGTAGAGCGAGTGTTCGGCGTACTTAAGAACCGCTTCTATATACTTAAGAAGCGTACAAAGTACTCTATATATATATAGATATAGCTAGTCTACGCCCTTATAGCGCTATACAACTTTATCGGACGGGCTAATACTAATAATACCCTCTTCCGGGATAAGATCGTATAGATATAGAAGGATATCCTAATACCCTAACCCGAGGATATATTTAATTAGTAAGGGGCTATAGGCACTCGTTAACCAACCGTCGCTTCCGAGGCTAAGTAAGAGCGCGAGATAGACAAGTTCTACGATAAGATTGCCTCTAATATATAGTAGGACTATATATACTATCTAATTACTAAAGGGCAGAAAGTTAGAGAAGTAAATAAGATACCTTGATTTTACTAATTATTATATAAATATATAGTAGAATAGCATATAAGTTAGAGGTATATATAATATTATACAGTTCTTAAACCGCGTTCAATATTAAGTAGTAATGACCGTAGTAAGTATAAGAAATCGGTAAGGCCCCGGGGGCCTTACTAAACTAGAATACTTATACAATTAGACGTAACAAGTCTAGTATAGAGGTAGAGCGCCGCTCTGCCTCCTCGTCCGTATCCTCTTCGTCCGAGTTAGTAAGCCTAATCTTATATAGTCTTACTGCATCGAGGTCAATACTCTCGATAACGTCGCGGCGAGTAAGTATAGTATAGCTCTTCCGGCCTACGGCCTCGGCTTTAGCGATACGGGCAAGCTACTTTTAACGCCGGTTATAGAGTAGGTTAATCCGAGCGACGTTACGGTTAAAGCTATCGTCTGTATTGTTATCGCTCTAGACTATCGCTATAAAGCGAAGGCGATATTCGTAGTTACCCTCTACGTACGTAGCGACTTGCTATAGCTGTTTATTAAAGAGGCGTAGACATACTTGCTAATAGACTCGAGAAGTATAGAATTCCTATATTAGACTCCGTACCTCTAATAGTTTCCGCTCGGATACTAATTTAGCGTTAGTAATTACCCTAAATACCTCTTTTATCTAGATACCGAGTAATTTAGTACTAGATACCTTCCGGATACTATCCTTCTTAGACAAGATAGGTATCGTACCGGTACGGCGGGTATTCGTACCGCTACTTGGTCCTAGTGTTTTAGGATTGTCTACGTCCTCTTGCTCGTCTATAGGCGTAGTCTCCTCCGGTTCCGAAGTAGTAGGTTGTTCCTCGTCGGATAGGCGCTTACGCTTCTTGTCTTGCTTAGTCTTTGCTACGGTTAATATAGCCGCGGCACTACTAGTAGTATACTCCTCTATCGCTATCTTAGTACCCTATATATTACGATACTACTTAATACCTAGTAGAGGATTGTTACGTAACTAGCGTACCTCCTTATAGCTATCTATAAGTATATACTTGTTCTATGTCTCCTTCCCCGTAGTAACAATACTAGTCTTCTAGTCTATACCCTATCTACTAACCTTAAGAAGGCGTTTAATAGCGGTAGTCTTCCGCTAATACTAATTAAACTTAGTCTTTACCTAAGAGAATACTAATAATAGCCTGTCTACTTGCCCTAGGTATATCTCTCTTATAGCCTTTATTACTACTACTACAATAGCAGACTTCTTATTAGCTCTTAAACCCCTACCTCTATAGCGGTTCAAATAGATAAAGTCCGAGTATATCTTTAGTACCTTAAGCTTAAGAATACGCTCCTTATCCTATATAAACTTCGCCCGTTAGACCCTCTTCTAAGAACTATTAATCTAGCTTTCCCTAATAGTATTATCTATTATACTACTAGTCTCTTCTTTATCCTCTTTAAGGGTATAACTAGTAGGATCCTAGGATTAAGAACTATACGTATTGTAGGTACTACTATAGATAGAGGGCTAGCTCTTACTAAATTAGCCTATACCTTCCTCGAGAGTTAGATTAAGATCCTCTATAGACAAGGGATCGTCCTACGGAGTAGCAGAAGACGGAGTCTATAACGAAGGTATAGTTAGTAAGTCGGAGCGATCGGTCGGTAGAATAGCGTAAGGTTAGGTCTACGAGGAAGCCCTAGTAGGCAAGTCGGGGCGCGACGGTAGAGATATAGATATATCCTCTATAGCGATCGCCCTAGTGTTTATATAAGCCGAAGTAGCTCGTATAGCTATAGTATTACGATCTGCCTTCTTATTAAAGAGTTAGTTCTAACTCTTACTAGTATTACGCTTAATTCGGAGGGGTATTTCAAACGTAGTATAAGATAGTAAGCTTATAGGTATTCGAGAGTAGTAGATACTATTATTAAGTTAGTAGATACCTACTGTTTATATATAAGCTTGCCGTCGTCGTACGCTATAAATACTACTGCTCTGATATTTAACTATATATATCGTATATAAGGTATAGGTAGTATAGCTTAAGACGGGTATAGCCGTAGTAGGCTCTTTATATTATAGTACAATACGGAATAATCTATTAAACAATATACGAAACAAACGATATAGTATTTCAACTCGTACCTACGGCTACCTGCGAATATTAAAGCGTAGGTTTAGTACGAATCTGTAGGTTGCGCGACCTATCTGTCAACCTGTCGAGAATTGGCTAAACGCCTACTAAACAGGCCCTAAGCAATGCTGCCAAATAGCAACATTAGTAGAAACCTGCGGACAGGTGTTCCGGATTACCTAAATAGGAAACCCGGAAACATGCCGCAGGTTGTTAACCTGCGGTAGCAGGTTAACAACCTGCGGGTAGATTTAAGAATATGTAGCAGGTAGATAGAGCTGCCAAAGCGTTCAATATATCAAGACTATTATATAGAACCATCAAAAGCGTTCAATACGTGCCAAGTCACCTGCGGCAGGTTGGTTTACAGATCGGCGATATGTTATTGAACAGGCCCTAAGGAGCCAATGGTCAACACTCCCTTGTTGGCGCCACTCCTCACTGAGACCGAGTATCTATGGCAATATACGTCGCAGCCGGATCCCAACTTGGGAGGCCGGGCACCCACAGCGGGCCAAGGACGCGCACTGGGTGGCGGAAGTGCGGTGAACTATATGGCGTATTGTCGCGCGGCTCCCTCCATCTACGATGAATGGGCTGCCATTTCCGGAAATCACGGGCTACGTTACGAGAACTTGTTCCAGGACTTCAAAGCAACGACGCACTATCAGGAACAGGTCTTGACCTACGATCCACGCCTCAACGCCAGTGCCTACGACCATGGGCCTTTGCAGATTGCAGCAACATCGGACACTATGGATTGGACTCTGCAATTCACGGAAGCGATGAAAGATGCTCTCGGCTTGCCTCAAGTCGACCTGAATGGTGGCGACAGTCTGGGAGTCACTTCTGGTGCATCCTCCATCCTCGCATCGAACCGTACCAGGAGCTATGCCCTGACCGCCTTTGGATGGAAAATGGCCGACCGTCCGAACGTGCACATTCGGCACGGCGCCTGGGTTAGCAAAATCCTGTTCGAGAATAAACAAGCAATAGGTGTACGATACCATGACATCAACGACAACTCCACGCATGAACTCCACGCCCGCGAGATCATCCTCGCCGGTGGTGCCATCAATACTCCCAAGCTGCTCTTGCTGTCTGGTGTAGGTCCGCAGAACGATCTTCGCGCCTTATCGATTCCGCTCGTCCTGGACGCACCGCACATAGGCTCTAATCTCTACAACCACCACTTCTCCGTCATATCTTACGAAGCCTATCCCCATGTCGAGACGCTGGGGAAATATATGCAAAACCAGACCTTCAGTCAGCAGTCCAACATGTCCTACGCACAAAACGGAAGCGGAATCCTCGGTCAAACCTCTGCTCCTTTTGCTGTCGCGCAAGGGCCCAACAACACCTCATGGGGAGGAATTAATGGAACCTATCCAAAAGAAGAAGAAGGAAAAGAAGAAAAAAATGACCGCGGCCAGCTCCTCTACCAACTCACCAACGGCGCCCTAATCCCCGGTATAGGCACCAACACTTCCACTCTCAGTGCATTCGTCGCTCTCATCCAACCCCAATCCACCGGATCCATCCGCCTCAATTCCTCCTCCTATCGCATCCCACCCCTCATCAACAGCAACTACTACGGCCACCCCGTGGACAAATCCCTAATCCTCCACGGCTACAAACAACTCCGCCGCATCATGCAACAACCCTGCATGACGCAACACGTCGTTCAAAGGGAAATTTTCCCTGGACCACATGTTGCGGACGATGATGATGAAGGGTTGTGGAAGGCTATTCAGGAAACTGCCCAGACGTTTTATCATCCTGTTGGTACGTGTGCGTTGGGGAATGTGGTGGATGGGAATTGGAGGGTGAAGGGTCTTGGGGGAGGGTTGAGAGTGGTGGATTCGAGTACGTTGCCGACTCCGCCGACTTGTCATTTACAGGCGAGTGTTTATGCTGTTGCGAGGAGGGCTGCGAGGGATATTCGGGGGGATGATGGTGATGAGGGTTGTTTTGTGTGAGTTTTTACTGGCTCTGCGACTGCTGCAGTGATGTGGCGCTGTCATTGAAGTTGGAGAAATAGATGTGAATCTTGAAGATATAATACAATGTCTGATTCGATATGTGTGTGTGTGTGTACTGCCCACCTCACCTCTCCTTCTGTAAAGAGATACTACTACCCTGTGATATATATGATAACTCTTTGCCTGGTACTCTTCATCAAAACCCTTCATTCAAATTACCCCCCCATCATCCTCCTTCCTCTTCCTCTTCTCAATCTAATAAGCACAGTTCGCCTGAGCATCATACTCCTCTCCATACTCCTCCTTCGCCAACATAGAGCACACCTGCCTCATTCCCTCGGGCGAAACTCCTCGGTTGTGAGAATCCACACATCCTTCTCCTACATTCCAGTACTATAGCAAAAAAAAAATCAGCAAACAAATAATTCTCTCACACTTTTATGGATAGGTTGGGGTGATAGCGTACCAAATTCGGATAACTCTCAGCAAGATAATTACAAGCCTCCTCACCCAAATGATCATCTTGCTGAGGAGCCGAGTCCGAAGAAGGATCGATGAGGTCGCAGCTGCATTGGTGTGCGTAGCAGCCGTTTTCGTCGCCGTCGCAGTCTTCCGACGAAGGAGAAGAGGAAGAGGAAGAGGAAAAGTCTTTGCTGCTGAGGGATTTGCCGCTGTTGCTCTTCTTGTGAGAGCTGCTGCTGCTGAGGCGAGAGGGAGATTTGGAGGGGGCATCCCACTGGGGGAGGGAGATGGCGAGGGCGCTGGGGGGAGGGGGGGTTAGATATTTTTTGTTTGTTGAGTCTGGAGGGGATGTGTATATGGGGTGAAGGGAGTGGCTTACGAAGTCGCGAAGAGGGCGAGGGTGAAGAATTGCATGATTGCTGATTGGGTTTTGAGTAGTGGTGGTTGTTCTTGTTGTTGTAGTGAATGTATTGGAAAGCTGATGATGATGCTGATGATCTGGGAGAGAGAGAGGAAGGGCAAGTCTTGCTGCTATATGTATGTCTACATTCCGACTGACTTGTCCAAGAAAATTTCCTTCTTCTTCTCCTTCTGCTTCTTCGTTTCACCGAGAGGAGATTTCTTGCTTCATGATTCGCAGGATAGGGCTCGAATTTTGGTGATTTCCTTGGAAACCGAAACCGTATTTTTGTCAAGTTGTCGGATGTAACTTGTATGAGCTCGTGGGGGAGGGGGGTTATGCTTCTGTTTCTTTGCTTAGCTACATACAATTAGCTGTCTGCTGTTCCCCTACCTTGGCCGTTTGCGCTAGACTGACCTACTGAGTTTAGTCCTTCTACTTCAACATAAATAATAAGTTTTTTCTAGAACGTTTGATGTGAAAAGACACTTTCACCATACCTCATTCGTGCATACATACACTGAGCCTGTGACTCCGCCACCACGAGTGTATAACGATGATCCCTCGAGAATGGTGGGATATTCCCAATCGAAGTCTCGTTTTTCCTTGTTTGTGTTCTCAGAAAGAAGGAAGAAGATCAAACTTGTCTCCGGACCGGACATGTAGGATCTGGAACGTAGAAGGTCAGAGCTTAAAAGGAAGTTCCCCGGAAAGATGGAAAACATGAACATGCTTTGCTAAGCTTCTTCTTTCGGCTTTCCACGGCGGGAACTAGGAGGTATTTGGATTAGTGTAGCCGTAAGAGAAAAGCTTCAATGGACCCTGAAAAGTCCTCGAGTCGGAGTGAAGGCACTCATCAATGTGATGACCAGATTTACCTCCTACATTTGTAGTACAGACACATCATCCCCCTCATCCCCATCTCTCATAGGGCCCTCTCCTTCATTAGGGCCCTTCTCCCATCAAAAACGCAACCTCTTTTAACAAAAAACAAAACCAATTACGTAGGTAATCTCCCTCCAGTCAGCAACCACCTCGTATCCCTCCCTTCTCATAACCGGCTCCGCCCCTTAGCTGTCAAAAACAAAAATCAAAAACGGCGACTAGAGAAGTAGAGGCAGTTTGTGACGGTTTGGACTAACTAAAAAGGTACCCTCCTAGCTGTAAAAGATGTTTCAGTTGCCTGTTTTTGGACGGAATTTGATTTGGGACGGTTTTTCTTTTTTGAAGTGGTGGAGTGGAGTGGGTTGGTGGATGGATGTAGGTTTGTGATGAAGGGGAGGACCATGAAGTTGGATTGTATGGTAAGGCTTTCTTTTTTTCTTTTTCTTTTCTCTTTCTTTTTCCTTTTTGTTTTTCCTTTTTGTTTTTCCTTTTCCTTTTTGTTTTCTATCAGGTTGATGGGGTTAGTTGGGGATGTGGCAATGAGAGAGAGAGAGAGAGAGAGGGAGAGAGAGAGAGAGGGAGAGGGAGAGGAACAAAGAGAGAGAAGCGCGAGCAAGCAGAGAGCCGCCATGTATACTTTTATCATCAGTCATCTATCTTTTCCTCAGCATATCCATAGTCTCAACTACAGATTACGACCAGCACATCTATAGTCTCAACTACAGATTACGACCAGCACATCTATAGTCTCAACTACAGACTACGCTCCAGACACTTCCTTCCTTTCCCCCATAGATTTTTATTTCCCATCCCTCCATCCATCCCTCCATCCATCACACTGACCCCATCTACCCCATATACGCCTCCTCCCCCCTCGTAATATACACCTGCCCAATCAACACCACACACCCCACGACCATCGCAATCGTAATAATGGGCAAATTCGTCACTGCAAAATCCCGACTACTCACGAAAATGTGTTTTCTCGCCAAAATGTCCCTCCACAGCATGCCGGCGAGAGAGGCACTGAAGGCGGTACTGAAGGCGCCGTAGTTGACGCCGAGAGCCATGCTGTAGATAGTCGCCCAGAACATGCGTTGCGAAATGGGGTCGCCGTTGCGAGAGTGGATTTCGACCCAGGATTGGAGGACGCGGCAGATGAGGATTGCGGTGCCGATGTTGGTTCCGGCGAACTGGAGGGGTGGGTTAGTTTTCTTTTTTCTCTTTTCTTTTTTCTTTTTTCTTTTTTCTTTTCTCTTTTCCTCATTTCCGTGTGCGAGAGAGAGAGGGGGGGAGAGAGAGAGAGAGAAAGAGGGAGAGGGAGATCAACTTACGTTGCACAAAACGACCGATACAAAAGCCATGCCACCGATAGATCCTACGACTCCTGTCCTACTCGTCCAGTGACTCCATCCATATGCGAATGTTGCCACCCAGCCCGATGTGACGAGAGATTGGACGAGGACAAACATTGCCAAAGCGAACGGGACCAGTTTCAGAGGGAGATGCTGTACGACCACGGTCGTGGTGGGGAAAGTCTGTCGTAGCCATTTCCACGTATCAGCGATGATGGACTGCAAGCTTCGTTGCTTCGTGGTGGTGTTTGTGATGGTGCGGGAATCGAGTGGAGGTGCTGATACGCTCTCGGACTCTTTTGGTACCGAAGCGAGCGGGACGTCGCTTTGTCGGGGTGGTTTCTCTAACTCAATAGTCATCTTCTCGGGGTCTTCTCCTCCAAGAGTCTCTTGAAAGTCCGATTTTTCTTCTTCGTTCCTGGAGTGAAGTTCACTAGGAGGTTCGGTGGTGGAGTTCGACGTGGGCGTTCCGGAGGCAGCCTGTCTGGACTCATGTCGATGTTTCCATCCATACGACAAGTCCCAGCAAAGCATCACGACAGCCCCAGGCACAGTCACCCAGAAGACGGGGTGTTCGTGGCCCGTTTTGGCTGTTGCATTGAGCACTAATATGGTAACCAGTGTCACAGTCATGACGGTCACGCCCACCGCAGCGCTCTTCTTGTCAACGTAAGGATGCATAATCTCCAACAGCGCTTTCAGCTCTTCGTCCTCGTCACTTCCAGCAGGTCTGGGAATATTGGGATTCACAGGTGGAGCATGTTTTGCGCTTTCAGGCAGTTCATGCATCTCAACTGTTCTTGGAACCAGACCATCCTGACGGAATACCAGAAGTAACAAGCAGGGAAAGAGGATCAGAACCGTGACGATCACAGGAACGATAATGTTCGCCGTGTAGACAATGAACTTGATGCCGAAAGCGCCGGCGAGCACCAAATTGGTGGGGTTTGAGGAAACGAGGACTGCGGAACCGACATTCGCCATCGCGAATTGTGCATATATCCATCTAACGCACACGGGTCAGGAGTCATTTCGTAGACAAAGAGACAGGGTAGTGCATGACTTACGCCTTGGCATTTGTGATGTTCCTTGAGACTCTCGTCATGTATGCGAGGAATGCTGTGCCGGAGAGCACGATTGGATCGTTCCCCACGAAGCTAGCGAGCGTGAAGAAGAAGATGTAAAGATAGAGATAGAGACGAATGCCATGTTTGCCACCCCTTTGGAGCACTTTGAAAGCCAGAAACCTGATCAGGCCAGAGGCATCGATGGAAATGGCAATGTATGCCAAGCTGATGAAGAATGCCATGATATCGAGTGGAGCGATATGGTTGGAGCCCACAGTGCCATCACGCACTTCTGTCCGTCCAATGGCGGTAATGGCAAGGAGGAACAGGTCGGCAATGACTGGCGCCGTGAGGAAGTTCATGGAGAGCCGCATTCGTACGAACTTGCCATGATCAGCAGTAGTGTCTCTTCTCGGACCATCATCCGGAGAGATGATTCGAGCAGCTTGCAATAGGCTTCGAGTGCCATCACAAATCACACGCGGGATGTACACGGGGATGTGAAATGGAAAAAGCACAACAAGGTCTGCGAGAGGCTTCAGATCAGTCACCAATCTATTCTTACGGATGCATGGCCAAGTATTCTTGCCATGTAATACCACTTACTGGTCAAAACGAAAACGATGAGTATGATGATGGACCGCCAATGCGTGATCCGACTGGTGTCCAGATCGATCTCCTCGGCCATAATGTGAATAGTTCGCAGGTGTCACTCGTGACTGCACGTCCAAACCGGTGGTCAAAGTCACACAGTATGTGCCACGGCGAGCTTATATTATATATGCTTCTGCCGCTCAGCGTAGCGTGCCCTTCCTGTTGGTTCTCTGTGTCTTTAAAGATTCCGAGTCTATATTGGTCAGACTTCTCTGATGCCCGCAGAGACCCGAGATCATACAGCAGGCTTCGAAAATGAGAGTCCAGCGTCCGTGTAGTGCATCCGTTCTCGTTTCAGTAGCTTTGATGCATGTCCTGGCCCCTTTGTTGCAGTGTTGACACTGTTGAGTAGGCAGAGATACAGCTGACGCCAAGACCTACGAGCAGCTAGAGAGGGATATTCCCTGCGCTATGGGCGTGTCAAGGTCGGCTACGACGGTCAAGAAGAGAACGGAGGCCAGGCAGCCAAGACGTAATACTCAATGAACAAGACTTTTCGTCAGGCAAAGAATCATAATCTGCAGCCTGTTGTCGTAGTGGACTTGTCTGGGATCAGTGTTTCTGCACGCTCACTCTGCTCTGTCTACTCCAAGACTCCCCAGCCAAAATAAGAGAGCCTCAGAGATGTGACTTTAAACGCCCTCGTCGCCGGAGGTAATGGAACAGAAAAGGTGATTATTGTTGCCAGGGAGCAGCTCTGTTTTTCCCCGTGACCGTGCTGATCCGGGCTTAGTGGACGTCTGGGTCTAGGGACACTCGTCTCCTTGGGTACCTCTTGGTAAGTTGGTATAGCACAGGCTGCACAGCGGGCCAGCGGCTACAGAGTCTTAGTCACCACCAGTGGCTGATGTGGCCGACGGGCAGAGGTATATGGCCGGCGGCCGCGCCCACAAGTTGTATGATGAAGTTGTATATGCTCTCGACGAGTCGGACTGCTGCTACATTTCTATGTTATCTACCTAGGCGCGAAGATGCGGAGGGGCAGACCGACACCAACATACTGTTTCGACTCCTGGCGTGCTCATTGAAGCAAATGTGAAAATGCTTGATGGAGTGGCTGTATATGGGAGACGGCGGGGCGGAGGGCGGAAATCCAGTCAATGGAGGACTTCTCTGAGAGAGGCGGGGGACGACAAGGTGTACGACGTCGATCGGTGTTTTGCTTGGCAATGATTCCAATCGTGAATCGTCCTCGTCGTCGTCACCGCCCTGTTCCTCGTTCACTGGTCATCAGCACCCAAATGACCCAACTCAACTGCCATCATCACAACACCGCCTCATTGGGACACTTCCATGCACTTACATGCACTGCATGAAGGAGTGAAGTGAATGAAATGCAGCTGTACCTACTGCCGCCAAGCGTTGGCTCTGCTGCCCAGCCGCAAGGGCCACGTCTTCCTACGACGAGCTTGTCTACGGTATTGTCTTCCGTCGTATGAGAATAGCAGTCCTGTAGTGGCTGATGGACTGCCGGCCGTGACGTGGAAGAGCGACAAGCAACGGCACTTCTGAGATTACTGAGATCAAGCATTGGAAGCTCGCACACCATTCCAAAAGGGAGAAGGAGTACCCGCCCTTGCTCGCCCTCTCAATGCAGCAAAGGCATGCCAGCGACGACGACACCTCCATGTCTCCTTCACAAGATCAAACCTCGCCAAGACTCATCCAGCAGCAAATCTGTCTGTCAGTGTGTCGAAAATGGCAATTCACTTGCATGCACTTCTGAAACGCCTCTGGGTACTCACTCCCGCGCCAAGCGAGTAAGAGGCGGAGCCCTTTCAGCCAGACGTTCAGTGCACGATGTCTGCTGCTGTCCAGAGATGCCAGTAGTGACGGGTCAGTAGAGAGCGAGCCATAGATATGAGGCGTTGTGCACGCCCACATCGCCCACATCCACACTCGCTCCATCTTGTCCCATTGTCTCTGCTCGTCGCCTCATCCAGATGTCTCCCGCACCAGCATACAACAATCGTATCTCCTGGCGCGTTGGCGACGATGGCGACGTCGACGCCTACCGCGAGAGCATAGCACTACCGAAAAAGAAAAAACAAGGCTTCGTAGCCAAAGTACGATCCACATTCACTGCCACGGATGGATCCCTTCGACCATTTCGACTCCTGAAAAGAGACGTGGGAAAGCTCATCAAGCGCTATCGTTCAGACTGGACAACGTTCAGCCAGGTCATTATTGCAAGTGCCATATTTGTCTTCTTCACCAATCTTCTGCCTGGTATCACCTTTGCAAGCGATCTATATGCCTCTACGGGTCAGAACTGGGGCACCATCGAGATTGTATTCAGCACCGGTATGTAAACGATGCGTGATTGGATAACCCCCCAAGCATCTACATACGTACTCACTCCCGAAACCAGGTCTCTGCAATGTCATCTTTTCATTCTTTTCCCTCCAGCCCTTGACCATACTCGGTGTCACGGGACCGTTTTCCGTCATTGCAGAAAATCTCTACACCATGATAACCGACTCCATGGGCGTCCCGTTCCTTCCCTTCATGGTAAGTGCAGCAGCAGCAGCAGCACTGGATTACCAACGTGAACGCTACTGACCACTGAGCCTTCAGGCATGGACATTGATCCACACCTGTTGGATGCTATGGTGTCTCGCAATCTTCAACGCCCACGAATGGACCATGCTTTATGTCACCGATTTCACCTGCGAGATTTTCGGCCTCCTGACATCGATCATATACTTCAGCAAAGCATTCCAAGAGTTCCGAAGGGGCCACACCGATATGCCTCTCGATGCTTTTCTCTACTCCGTGATCGATGGCGTAGGTACCTTTCTTCTGGCGCTCTTACTCTCCTCCGCGGAGAAGTGGGCGCCTCTCTTTCCGAGACACGTCCGGTCTTTTCTTCGACAGTACGCGACTGCGATCGCAGTCATCTTTTTCGTCGGCATCGGCTACCTGGGCGACGTCGAAGCCCTGGAGAAGGGCAGACTGTCCACCAGCAGTGAGCGATTTGCACCCTCCTCGCCCGAACGTTCCACCTTCTTTGTCCAATTCTGGGATCTCCCTGCAGGCTACATCGCAGTCTCGATGCTCTCCGGCGCCATCGTCACCATCCTCTTCTTCTTCGACCACGAAATCAGCACCATCATGTGCACCGCCCAACGCTTCCGCACGCGCAAACCCAGCGGCTTCGCATTAGAAATCATGCTCCTCGGCCTCACCACCGCCATCTGCGGCATCCTAGGCATCCCACCCGCCAACGGCCTCCTCCCCCAAGCACCTCTCCACTCCGAAAGTCTGATGCACACTTTCGCCGACGACGAGAAAGAGGAGATTATGCTGCCTGTCAACGAGCAGGGCGAAAAGAAAATCATTTACCAACCCCTACCCCGCGTCTGCGAACAACGCTGGTCCCGATTCCTACACGCAGGAGCAATTCTCGCCTGCATGTCTCCACCGCTCCAACGTGTGTTGGGCTATACACCCACCAGCGTCCTCGCCGGTCTGTTTATTTTCATGGGTTACCAAAATCTTTCTACAAACCCTATACTGAAACGATTTTTTTGGATTCTCACTCCGTCTTCGCAACTCCCTTCTCTATCCCTACCGCACCAACAACAACCGCAACAACCACAAATACAAGTAGTACAGCCCCAGCCAGAAGTGTGCCAACCACCACCAGCAGACTGCATCCCCCCCACAAACACCACCACCAACCCAAATCCATGCGGACGTGGATACTGGTCCATACACACCTACACCCTCTTACAAATCACCATTGCAATCATCGCATTCGCCATCTCCCTGACGTCGGCCGGTCCGGCGTTTCCTTTACTGGTGGTGGCATGTGTGCCGATGCGATTGCTCGTGGTGCGAAGGATTTGGAGTCGACAGACGCTGCGCATCGTGGATCGATGGTCGTGTCGAGAGGGTTCACCCGAAGATGACGAAGATGCCATGCGGGGAGAGGCTGCTCTGCTCGCGGGCGAAGGGCTGAATACCAGTCGGGTGGAGACGGGGTACTACAATGCTCCTCCGTTGCTGAGCGGAGAGAATGTATGAGAGAAAGAGATTGATAGATTTCCTTTTGTGATGATTTGGAAAAGGATGGCGTTCTGTTCAGCGTGTATTTTTTTTCATATAGAGGATCGGGAGCCAGAATTTGCGTATACCATTTCTTCATCTAGCTACGGTACCGATCCTTACTCCCTACCTTTTCGCCTCTTCGGCTCTTGTTTCTTGACTTATACTTTCCCGGACCTAGTCTTGCTCCTCCTATGCTTAATTGTGAATGAGCTGTACTGAACAGAAACAGCCTCAAGGTCTTTCAGCATACGACTCCGCTTTCGTGTCGCATCATCTTCATCATCCTTGTCACGTTGCTTGCCCAGACGTGTTTGACAATCAGCAAATGGATATCTCTTCCGCTTGGATCCTTTAGGTCTCTTCGGCTTCATCCACAACCGCAAATCCCCATCAGAGAAAACATTTGCGGGTCCTGCCTCCAGCTTCGCCCCACCATTGGGCCTATGACTCTGTCCGGCCTGTTGGGCTCGTTCCTGAGCAGCGGCAGCCTGTAAAATATAACGCTCGGGGTTGTATGGTTCCCAGGGATTCTTCAGATAATCAAGAGGTTGTTCGTCATCATCAGCTGCATCTATCTGTCCTGTTCTGAGCCTGCTCACCTCTTCAGACCAATTGTTCTGTGTGCGATCGGCCGTCAGATTGACACCAGGCCCATTTTGCTCCAGATGATGATGCTCCAAATGATGACGCGGCAGACCGGTGTCCGTATTAAATACTTCGCCAGCCTCGCCGAAAGTCCCCACCTAGGAGTCAGCAACTTCCTCAATCAAACTTCCGTTTCCCTTGCTGCTCAGACCAAAGTATGCTCCAACAGGCGAATTCTGCCAGAGTTCCGGTACGACAACATGACTGCCTTCCTTTTTGTTGACCCAGCGCACCATAGTTGGATTCAGAGCATTGGAGTCGCGGTCAGCAAGAGGAGTTTCGCCGGCCTCGGCTGCACGAGCAGCGTCAATCTCAGCGCGAGTCCGGCGTTTTGGAGCTTGTTTATGGAGCAGTTTGTTGATGGTTTCCATCTGTGACATGTCAGTAGAGACACACTGTAAGTGGTTCACCAGACTGAGCCTACCTTTTCCTCCTCGTTGCGCTTGTCGGACAGATTCTTCCTGCGTCGAGCCATCTCTGCTCTGCGCTGGACATGCTCCTCTTCCGTGAAGTGCTTTTTCTTGAGTGCTTCATTAGACAATGCCAGCAAATCACCCGTTTCTGCGCCTTCAAACTCGACCATGACTCCGCGTTGGCGCTTTGTGAGCTTTGACAAATCAGGGGTCGCGCTTCGTGAGTTATCGTCATCCTCATCGCTATCATCATCCAGCTCGTCTTCCTCGTCGTCGCCGTTGCCCCCGAGCTCATCCTCTTCCTGAGACTCTAGCTCAGACAACTCTTCGTCATCGTCATCTTCCGTTTCCTTGGCTTCGACAGATTTTAGCGCGCCTTGGGAGGGTGCTGTCACAGTGACAGTCGGTTTCGCTTTACCAGACGCGGTCTTTTGCGTGATGACAGGCGGGGGAGGGTGATCGTCCATGTCCACATCGTCGTCCTCTTCTTCCGCGTCATCTTCGCTGTCTTCTTGCGCGAGAAGCTCCTGGTCGCCATCGCCCCCTTCGATTTCCCCCTCGGCGTCCTGATCGTCGTCGAGATCGTCACTATCGGGGTCGACGACAGTTCGCGGATTGCGGGTCGCTCGTGCCGCGCGTCGTGGCGGGGCTGGGGTGGTGTCACTTTCGCTCGGCGTATCTGCATATGGATTGGGCGGGATGTTCGAGCCCGAAGTGGCCTGCCTGAGTTTGCTGGGCGGTGCCTTGACCGTGAGACGGAGGGATGTGGTCTTGCCGTTGGCGGGGCGTGCTGCGACGGATGCTGAGGACGAAGAGCTGATAATACGCGCGTTAGTTCGAGTGTATGGCTGGGCCGAGTGTGTCGCGGCGGCAGCTGGGTTAGAGACAGTGCGCTTGGAGCGCCGCTCTGCAGGCATGCTGGGGAGGAATAGAGAGCTATGTGATGATGGATGGCAAGTCCCGGCGGTGGTAGTAGTGGGGAGTATGGGTGGGGTGTGGGCGGTGTCGACGTGGCGGTGATGGAGTGTGGGTGTAGGGCGAAGTGGTGGGAGCGGTGGACTGCAGTGAGGTGAAGTGAGGAGAGGTGAGGGAGGGGAGGGGAGATGAGATGAGGGAAGGCGCAGTTGTGTTGTGTTGTGTGGCTTGCTCTTGCTCTCGCTCTTTCTCGCTCTTGCTCTTGCTCTTGCTCTTGCTCTTGTTGTTGCTTGTGATCTGCGTGGGCGTGCGAAGACAATGGCGTGCGGCGACTTCATCTCATCTCCTCGTTCTTCTTTCTATCTCAACCTTCCATTGACTCCCCTTCCCGCCCTCCCCTCCTTTTCTCCCATGCACGCGCTCGACTACTGCCGCCTCCACGTTCCCTCGTTGCTCGCCTCCACTCGCTTGCACATGCCGTGTCGGTGCCAGTGCCTGCCCACCACTACCTTCGACCTTATCACTTGCACTCCCACTCCCACTCCCACCAAACGACATTGCTTGTGCTTGTGCTTGTGCTTGTGTGCTGGTGCTGGTGCTTATGCGCCCATGTGCTGGTGCTTGTGACACGGTTTGGTGATAATTTGATGGATTACTGCTTACCCGCTGCTACCGCTGTCTCGTCCTCCAATAGTTCGAGCCGCCGCCGGCGGATGATATGCTGGCAGTCCTGCTGCGCCAGATGCCGGTGCAGCAGTGCTGATTGGCGTTCCGCTCGACGTCTTCAGCCGCTTGTTGCTGTCGGTTTGATCCATCGTGATGGCCTGCTGCGATGCACTTGGTAAGCATAAGAACCATCGCCAAATACCTTAGTGAAATATATATGGAGCTGTGTAGGATTGGAGCGCCGATCCTCCGCAAAGTGGAGCTGTGGGGCCAGTGAGCGGCCGATGACGCCGGCCGGTCTCTCTCTCCATTTCACTTCACCTTCGAGATTCTCATGGTATACGAAGGTGGCCGATTCCACTAACTTGACCCGCATCATAATATCGGCGAAAGCAGAACCTTTCATCTTATGTTAACTTTTCATCCTATCGTATCTCATCAAGAAGCACAACAATTAATTCTCTTCCAACCTTCTCTCTCCCCCTCTACTTATATGTCTTGATTCCAGAGTTCCATCACCCAAAAGCCTGCAAACTAGCCATACTCCCCGGATATTCATTCCTCTGCGCCCAACTCCTCACATTCTCAAAACTTCTACATTGGTGATATTCCGGCTCAAACCGCACCTCATCCGCAATCACAAACGGCTCCAACGTGGGATCCGCCAGACACATGATATCCTGTCGAATCCAATCCACACAATGTTGAATGTGACAAGCAGTCTGCAGAGTTTGATTATACCCGTCTTCTGCATCAAAGCCCCATTCTAGTCCAGAGCAGTCTCGTGGAGTGAAGCCAGACGGGTCAAGGAGGCGTTTGTGGATCATTTCGAGGCAGTGGAGACTGTGGAAGACGGCGACTTGGTAGAGGCTGTGGTTTTCTGTTCCCGGAGGTAGTAAGGGGGGAGTGGTGGGGCGTTTGGCGAGTGTTTGGTCGAGAGCTGGGAGGTGTTTGTTGTGGAGCATTACGATGCCGTTCTTTGGGAGGAGCATCCATTTCCAGAAGGTCTGGTTTTGGAGGCGCGTCCAGTAGCCTTCTTTGATGCCGAGGTATTCGACGCCTTCTCTCTTGGTGAATAGGTCGTGATCTGGGGGGTGTGGTTAGTGAGAATTGTGAGGGATAGGATTCATGGGTTGAGGTATGCGCTTACAGGAGGAAGCGATGGGGTCGCGCGCTTTTGCAATTCGATGGGCGATGCCTTTCCTGTTTTCTATCACGAGAAAGACCAAAATGTTTGCGAGTTGAAGAAGTACAATCCATTGCCACCAGGGCCGATTGCGCCAGAAAGATTGCCGACGTGTTGGTGTTGGTTCACTCCCTGCTGCTGCTGCGTCATCGTCGTCGTCTAGAGGATCGTTTGGATGGAGTGCACTGTACTCGTGCGACTTGGGCATTAGATGGTGCGTCTGCTCTGGTCGCTCCATCTTTCCGGCAGACCAGTGAGGTCAATACTCATCTGATTCTTGAGTGAGCAGCGTTTTTGTGCCGATTACAACTTTTTCGAATAGTTAGTGCGCAATGGACAAAGAGTGAATCATACATGCCTGAAAAGGGCTTGAATAGAAATAACAAAGACATTATTAGTGACTAGCTCGGATTTCACCTGTGACTTGTATTTTCCGCTTTGTTTACTCGCTCAGGCACTCCTCAGAGACCATTCGCATTGGAGATTAGATCTGTCGTAGCATCATGTTATCAAAAGCGATGCTGTTTATCGCTTCTATGCACAGTCATGGCAAGATGTTACAGCTTCGATGAACCAGTCACCTCGCCGACCCAGCTGTGCTTGCCTTCCTTGAAAAGCTCCATAAACGGCTGTCTCTTCTCGCCTTCTAGATTGCCAATATTGAATGCCGCAAAGCCTTTTATGGCGGAATTGGAAAGCCATAATGGCGAGCCCTACGAACGCATTGTAAATGACTATATCGAAAACTCACAGCTTTAGCCGCTCGAGGAAGCAGCAAGAACTTACGCAACTCCCACAGAAGTGCCTGTACAGTGTCGCACCGCTCTTGGTAGCTTTGTCATCATACACCTTCAACAAGTTCTCGCCTTTCAAGACGGTGATGTGGGATTTCATAAATCTGTGGTTGTACATAAAGGCGCTTCCGCTCGCTTGACGACAGTTATCGCAGTGGCAGAGAACGGCATTCTTGTCTTCGCCTGTGACTTCGATTTGTACGGATTTGCAGAGGCAGGTTGAAGTTCTGGTGGCGATGACGGGGGGAGCTTTGGTCTTGGTTGCGGATGACATGTTCTGGGCTGAGATGGGAGCGGAAAAGAAGGATGTCAGGGGTGTTCGTAGGATGGTCTTATTCTTGGTGACTCGAAGAGATATGCTCGTCATGAGGTGTGTTTCGCGGGAGATGTTGTCGAGAGTTAGGAAGTGAAGTGGTAGCAATGGAAGGATTCGGAGGAGGCGGCTTAAGGAAACGAAAGTGGATCCCTGCAGTCCATGCCATCCGAGCCGGGAAAGAGCGCCGGCTTCTGCATATGAACTAGAACTACCTAAACTGCTCAACTCTCTTGCGGTGCTGTCCTCCTCCTGTCCTTCTGCCAACACCACCACCACCACCCACCAGTCGCCCAACATGTTCTCCCGACACGCCGTGCAGGTAAGCGTCCACCCGTGCGAAGAACTGAACATGACACCGCTGACCCGACTCTCTCCAGGCTCTCCGAAGCAATGCAATCCAAACACCTTCTATCGCCGCTCGATGTACGCGAACACGCAGCGACCCGATGTGGAATACCGCCGACGCAGAATCTGACTTGAGGGAACAGCATACGCGACCGTGTCGTCGGACATCTTCAAGCCCACCAAGTTTGGTGGCAAGTACACTGTTACCTTGATCCCAGGTATGCGCCTGCAAAAGCAAAAAAAGCCGACGTCTGATAACGCCCAAGAGGAACTAAATGGGATGCGCAACAGGTGACGGTATTGGTGCGGAAGTTTCGGAGTCGGTCAAGACCATCTTCAAGGCCGATAACGTGCCCGTCGAGTGGGAACAGGTCGATGTGTCGGGCATGGAAACTGGCGACAAGCACTCGGAGGAGCTCTTCCGCGAATCCATTGCATCGCTCAAGCGCAACAAGCTGGGCCTGAAGGGTATCCTCCACACGCCCGTCACACGATCCGGCCACCAATCCTTCAATGTCGCCCTCCGACAAGAGCTCGACATCTACGCCTCGATCGTCCTGATCAAGAACATCCCCGGCTATGAGACACGGCATAAGAACGTCGATCTGTGCATTATCCGTGAGAACACCGAGGGAGAATACTCCGGTCTCGAGCACCAGTCCGTTCCCGGAGTCGTCGAGTCTCTCAAGATCATCACCCGCGCCAAGTCAGAGCGTATCGCCAAGTTCGCATTCTCCTTCGCGCTTGCCAACAACCGCCGCAAGGTCACTTGCATCCACAAGGCCAACATCATGAAGTTGGCTGATGGTCTCTTCCGCAACACGGTCCGCAAGGTCGGCGAGGAATACCCTACCATCGAGACAAACGACATGATTGTCGACAACGCCTCCATGCAGTGTGTATCCAAGCCTCAACAATTCGACGTCATGGTCATGCCCAACTTGTACGGTGGTATCCTCTCCAACATTGGTGCCGGTCTTGTCGGCGGCCCTGGCATCGTACCAGGCTGCAACATGGGTCGTGACGTCGCCGTTTTCGAGCCTGGATGCCGTCACGTTGGTCTTGATATCAAGGGCAAGGATCAGGCCAACCCAACTGCTCTCATTCTCTCCGGAAGCATGATGCTGAGACATCTTGGTCTTGACGACCATGCGAACAGAATCTCCAAGGCAGTCTATGATGTTATCGCCGAGGGCAAGACACGAACACGCGACATGGGTGGTGAGGCTACTACTCACCAATTCACCAGGGCCATCTTGGATAAAATGGAGGCACAATAGTTGATGAGACGCTCCCTCATCGGCAAACGGAATGTGAGATACAGTACTGCATGGTGTAGCTAGTTGACAAGCATCCTCTGACATTTTCTCGTTTGTCTTGATACCTATGCGTAGATCAATGTATATTGGAACAAACAGCGTGGACTCCCACACGCCCCAACTCTTTTCTTTTCCACTCTGCTTCACTACCGTCAGCCGCTATCCGCGAATTAATTGTCTACCCCAACCAAGAAGCTATCTTGGATGTGCGATGAGGTTGCAAGTCATCAACTACATTTACCTTACATTTGATACGCCGACCATGTAGCAGAAGCAAATGACCAGAGATGGACACCGCATGGTCTAGTGGCGTATTCTACATCACCTACAACTTCATTTGATTCTTCTGACACTTCACGTTCATTCTTTTACACATCAGGTAGGTACATGTAGGTATTGTATATGAAACCTTCTCTCTCCCCCCCCTTTCTCTCTCTCTTTATCTCTACCTACTATTACAACTCCCGGCACGACCCATCCAGACCGAAAATCTTGCCAGATAAATTCTCACTCATACCGCCTGCTAAAAACAATACCAAATTGGCGATTTTGTAGAATTCTGCTGGAGTAGTAGTAGTAGTCTGCTGAGATTGTATCGCGGATTTTTCCTCTGTCTTGATCAGAGCGGTCATGTGCGTTTGAGCTTCTTGGTAGGCGAGGGTAGATTGTTGGGTTTCTGATGGTGCTGTTGTTGCTGTTTTTAGTGGGTTTGATCAGTATACGTGGTTAGAGGGAGAATCGCGATAGGAAATGTAATTGGGACACGAACGAACCTTCTGGTATGATGATGTTGGTTCTGATGGAATTGCTGTTGTCTTGGAATTGCTGCATGAGGGATTTGGCGAAGTCGATCTGGTTTTTTCGAATATATTTTATTCGTTAGCATGAGATGGAGGACTCTCTCTCTCCGGAGCGGAGCTTTCGCAGACCATTTGTCTTTTGCTCTGACTTTCAACTTCATTTACACTCCCAGGAGCCACTGTAATGATGGAACCTTGCCCGGTCTCCCTCATCACATTTCCAATAGCTTTGGTCAAGTTTGCAATACCTGCTACATCATCATCATCATCTTCCTTCTCGACAAGATTCATAAGCGCATCGAATTTGCCTCCCAGACTCTCGAATTTCTCTTGAGAGGCTTCTATAATCTTTTTCGGCGTTTCAAGTTCTTTGATGTCGACTTGTTCGAACTGGAAATGTGTACCCAGTCCGGCATTGAGGGAGTGATCTCGAGGACGTGTGTCAATGCCCAAGACGAGGGCGTTGGCCTTTAGTAGAGTCTTGCAGATCACGACGCCCAGAGGAGAGGAGGCATTTGTTACGACGCAGATTTTGTATTGGAGGTTCAGTGGGTTGGTCCTTTCTATGATGGACATGGTGGCTTGAGAGTGTGAATGCAGTGAAGAGGATAGAAATTAGTAATTTTGCTGGGTTAAGCTGTAGTAAGTACATGAAGTAGAATTGAATCCACATGGAAGTTCTCCATGGCTGGCAGTAAGGTCCGGACGAAAGGTACAGTACCTTAGGTACCTAAGTAAGGTATGCTTGTTCTCGAGAGGTTGAGGGGGGAGGTGTTGTTCATGTGATGTGCCCGTTCGCTCACTTTCAATGTTCTGCTGAGTCAGCAACCTCTATCAAGCTCACAATTTCTCCCGCCAGTCATATCATCACCACATTCCACCATGTGAGCACATATCTATCCCGACCATGGCTGCACAGCCCCCAGAACACATCGCCGAAGAGCTGCTCCAGCGCGCATACGAGCCTGAAACCGCCAGCAGAATCTTCAACGAAAAGGTCAAAAAGATTCCACTTTTACTGCGGCCCACTTCACCAGATCCGAGCATCAACGCGCGCGCGAAGCGTCAATACGATCGTCGCCAGAAAGAGAAATTACAACGAAAGTCGAAGAAGCCAAAGCCTCTCTCCGCAAAGCAAAAACGCGCATTATGCGTCTACGAGATCCCCAAGGACCAGCGCAAGTACGCCATCTATGAGCCGCTGCATCGTATGTGGTGCGACTACATGCGAGAGATCCTTGGCTTGAAAGCAGGCAAAACATACGTCGATGCGAGTGGCGCGGGTCCCATGCTGGTGACCGCCGACTACCATGGTGCTCTCGTGGAGGTTGTAAGGAGCAGATGTCCAAGCAGAGTAAGCCTGCGCGGGATTGTGGTCAAGGACACGAAACATACACTGGAAATTATCACGAAAGGGAATGAGTTGAAGATTGTGCCCAAGGAGCAGACTATCTTCAGGTTTGAAGTGCCGTTGGAGGAGAAGGAGGAGGAGGAAGAAGGTGGAGAAGAGAAGAGGAAGCCACTCGTCTTCGAGCTCCATGGACATCAATTCGAGTACCGGGCACCTGATAGGGCGAATAAGAAGTTCAAAATGCATATCGATCCGGATTTATGATGCAGCCTGGAGACTTTGCCCCAGAATTCATTCACGAGCGTGCTTGTTGGCTGTAAGTGTGAACCACGTAGCGAGGTAGGGTCATTCATGTCGCGGAGCCGCGCTACACCTCTGATCCGAAGCAAATCTTCGCACACTGTTCAATCACCGACTTCCCAAGCACGTCCCGGCTCAGTGGCAGGTCCGCCATACTTGTCACCATCAAAAGGCTCCTGACATTCGTAACTACAACAGCGCAAAGCAGCCTATGTCATGTCACTGAAGGACGCCGGGATTGGAATACAGGTATACATCCACCAAGAAGAGGATCACACATGTATATGACTGCGTTCCACTCAATGGCAGGTGTCATTTCCAGCTTCACGCTTGGGACTGTGTTGCCCTATGCGGAATTCTGGGACTAGAGCTATGTAGGTAAGGTCGTCGCCGACTTAATCTATAGCTTCGCCCTACACATCGCATTGGTTCGTCTGTGCCTGGATTCCGTTGGCAAACTCACGCAACGAAAGGAGTCTTACTTCTTATTATACGCCCCTCCAATACCCCTCTGCACAGCAGGCCTCGCCGCAATACGATCAATCCACTTCAGAAGATGTGGGAAACCTTGCACTTCCTCCTTGGTAAAGCCACTTTTCTCCCAGTTCTTGACCCATGGCCTAAGGGTGAAAGTCAGCGATCCGACTGTGACCAGCTGAGCATACCGAAACGACATACCAAGTCTTCACATCAGCGATACTATATTTCCCCTTTCCATTACCTGCCAGATACTCCCGTGGCTCTCCGGTGTATTTGCCACTCAGGTGGATCTCCAGCACGCCAAAGACGCGCAGAGTCTCGTTGCGGAAACGCGTAATTGCGTAGGGGATCTTTTCTGGCGCCGCACGAGTGAAGTGGTTGACTTGGCCTTGGTATGGAGCGCCAGAGCCATGCCAGAAGCTTGGTGCGGCAAGCATTGTGTTAGTGAGGTGTGCCGGTCGGTACCTATGTTGTATGGGTGTGGATAGGTGGGTATAGTCGGCTGAGCTTACAAAGTCCACTGCAAAGCTTGATTGCGCTCAAGATCGTCGGCAAAGCCAAACTTGTCTTGTTTGTCGGCGAACTTGAGGAGGTAAAAGAGTTCGGCCGATGTCTCGTGGACGGTGAAGGGTGGGGACTGGGAGTTGTCTACCAAGACTGGAATTCGACCTGCGGTGGTGGTGATGATGGATGTCAGACACCGAGCACATGAAGTTGTCCCAACTTCTCCCTGGCGCTGTGCCTCTATACTCTACAAATATGGAGCTCAAGGCAAAAGACAATATCCTCGAGCATTGGTACTTGTGGACTCACCATTCGGATCTAGACGCAAGAACCAATCTTTCTTTTGCTCATTGGTACTGCACAATGAAGTTTAGACGATGCACACAGTACAGGTACAGGTAGGTGGTTGTTATCTTGCTTACGAGATATCAATGACGGATGTGGTCCACTCGGTGCCATACGCATCTTTCAACTCCTCGAGAAAGATCTGGACCGCTTGACCATTGGGCGTGTTTTGTGTGATGAGATGGAGGCCTTTGGCGTTCTTGACGTCCGCTGGGGTCTCGTCGGTATAGAGAGAATGAGACATGATGAATTATGGTATGATCTATCGTGCGGTGGACGATTGTGATTGTTCTTGGAGTAGTCACGGCTGTCTTATAGGGCCCTCATTGACAGTTACATGTATGATGATGATTCCAGGTACATGTATGTAAGGACTGATGCAATACACTCTACGCAATCGAGTGCCCCTCAGGGAAGCTCTCCCCGCCTTGCCCAGCCGCACGTCAGGACCATAGGGACTACATTAAGGGGAGGAGGGGTACTAGTGCACTATGTATTTACAGTACTTTTACGTCGCTTATTATGTATTGTTATAAAATGATATATGTCAGTTCATAAGGTGTTACGTGTTACGAGTAGTACGTCAATATGTTATATTACAAGTAAAAGTTAGAACATAAGCTATCTCTTACGTGTCTGTAGAATCTTATATATAAAAATTTTTATATATATCGAGTTTCTCTTACGCTACATCTTACGCGTCGATTTTTGCTAGCGCTTTTTATATTTGTCCGTCTCGTCTATAAAGTATATTCTTCTATATAGTACGTTAAGTACATACTATCGTATTGTACAAAGAAAGCGCTATAGCTTTAAGTTACGAGAAAAAGATATTTACGTAAGTGTAGTTTGAGCATGTAAAATTTTCTAAACGGTAATTCCGTCGTATAGTCAAATATACACCTCCTAATATTTGTATACGTTTTCTAATAATATACGTATTCCTATATCAAGCAGATGGATTATCTATCGCGGGAGTCTAATCCGAGCGTATATACCTAGTCTAACTATTATTATACAGTAGTATAAAGGTAGTATAGGTTAATATATCTATATATGCTCCTATAAACTACGTATATAAGAATTAAGCAGATAAGAATTATAGCGCGATAGAAGGGTTCGGTCCGTATCGGATATATATACCGAGTCTAGTCTAAATATAAATGTGTTCAAACCTATATACTGCTATCTATTATCGCGACCTCTAACCGTTACCTATCGTATTAGTATATCTAAGCTGCCCTGTCCGCTTGTCCTCTATAGTCTAATCGTTCTATCCGGCGTCTAGAATATGTATCCGAAATACTATATAGTATCGGACTAGAGTCGTAGAGTTAGAAAGGGCCTAGTACTAGATATATATATAGACCGTATATACAGGATGTTGTCGAGTAGAAGAGGAACTATATATGCTCGAGGATATATTGCTATCTGTTCGTATTAGCTAAGTAGATACGAACATTAAACATAAGAGCAATTGAATTATACGTATATATAATAGTTAGATCAAGAACGAAGAGTCCTAGTTAATATACAATAGGTCTTGTCCTATTGTCGCCTTAACTAGAGATAGGCCGACCGAGAATATAATCCTATCGCTTACGTTAACTAGTATAACCTATTGCTTCTTGCCTCGTAGTACTAGCAGGCTAATAAGAAGAGCGTCGGCGCTAATCTTGTATATACTAAGGCTAGTAACTTAATTAATACTATTAGGCTGTAGTAGGGAGATCTTTAGAAAGTAGAACTGCTTGTTAGTACCTATATCTAAGGTTAGGATTTGGTTAATACGTATAGGCGCTAGCGACAAAATCTCTAGGCTAGGTTAAGCGGACGCAGTATTAAAGTATATAAAGTCTCCGCAATATAGGGTCGTACGACGCTCGGTATATAGATTATCGAAAGAGACTATCTTCTACTACTTAAATAGTACCCTCTAGAAAGCGGTTACATTTGGTCGGTTATAGTCCTTCGTAAACGTAGCTAAGAGTAAACGAGCTAGCTCCTTATTTGCTTCCTTGCTAAATGCTAGGAGGCCTAGTGTCTTGTAGGCCTATTTGACGGCTAGCTTACTACGAGACTTAATACTAGTGTAATATACATCGTTTTCCGGAATCGCGTTGTACTCGATAGCTTCCTCGGGGTCGTCGCTAAGGACATTACGCTAGAGGACAGTACGCTCGGATTGCGGTAGAAGCCTGTCGAAGAGCCCTAGACAGTTAGAGTTAATACGACGTAGTTAGTCAACTAAAGGGCCCTTAGTTTGCTCTATACTTCCTATTAATAGAAAGCGAATAGTTATCTCGAAATTAATTCGCTAGAGGAGATTACGCTCTAGATTATAGTAGTTAGTAAGGTAGATTATACCCTTCAGGATGCGGTAGAACTCCTCGCTAGTTATAACATTAAGGTTTATAGCAAGACTATACTTAGCAATAAATGCTAGATAGTAGAGACTAGTATAGAGGTTTGGCCGTATGTTATGCTTCCTATATAGAGCAGACTTGATAGTTACTCTCTCTTCCTCTTCTTTATCTATAGCTATACTCTCTATAGCGGTAGAAATCGGAGTAGCAACAGAACTACTACGAGAATCGCTATAGGGACCGCGCGTACGAGATGTACGACGAGAGCTACGACTACGACTACGGCTACGACTACGGCTACCGCGCGCTGTTGGCTCGTTACTTGCCTGCGTGTCCCTACTATTGTCCGCAACCGGCGCTAGTAATAGTATACGACTACCGGCGCGGCTAGGTATCTTACTAGCTAGATTTGTAGATAAAGCTATTGCTAGGCCTTATTATAGGTACAACCTACCCTAGTAGGTATATAGGGTAGGTTAGGTATTGGCAATACCTAATAGGTATAGGTATTTAGCTAGGTATACCCAACCTATCGGGTTAGGTACAAACCTAGTAGGTATTGCGAAACCTAGTAGGTATTGCGTACCTATTAGGTATTGAATCTTCGTATATAGAAATAAAAAACCTAGAAACCGGGTACCCTAACGAGAGCGAGGAAGCGATTTATTTGGACTAGGTATAAGAAAAGAAACTATATATAAACCCGATATAGATACGAAAGTAAAGATTATAGTTAAATTGAATAAAGAAACTCAGGATTATATATACGCTATACTAGAAGTTATAATATTTTGAATCTTAAGAAATATAGTCGGTAAATATAGTCGGTAGGTAAACTTTATACAAGCTTAAAGCAATCTCCCTATAATCGTCTCGTAGTATCCCGGAGGCACTCTTACGCAAGCTTGAAGCTTAGGCGTACTAATTGCCTTAGCTCCTCTACTACATTACCCTCGTTATCGCTAATCGTATCTAAGTTACTAATCCGTTCTATAAGATCTTTCGTCTGCTCTCGGTCTTTACTAAGGATCTCCTATAAAGTTAGAGTACTAAGAAGCGCTTAGGAAACCTCTATAGCCTCCTAGGCGATAAGAACTCTAGTATTGTACTTATCGCTATCTCCTTTCTAACCCTCGGAGCTCGAATGATGCCTTAGGCTTGAATTTTAGGGTATCGTAGGGTCGTCGCTTAAGAGGGTCTGAAGCTAAGCTACGTATATATACTAGAAGCTCCCTTACGTATCGGACTAACTTAATAGTAATACTAAGATATACTAATATTATGTCCGGCGCTAATACTACTATCCTCTACGAGTACGGCAAACCAAAAATTATATCGATACGACGTCGCGTTATTAAGTTGTCGCATACCGCTAATACCTAGCTATACTAAGAGAATTACGGCGATAGTACGTAAACCTACAACTACATCGGACAGCGTATATATTAGTACGAGGTAATTCGCAGAGGTCTAATAAGTATAGTTTGTATAAATAGTCTTTCCGTATCTTAACGTCTTCCTCTTAAAATAGTAGTATTTCGAACTGTAGTCTAAGATCAACGGCTTACTCGATTTCGAAACGGTATATTTTGACTACTCGATAAGATTAATATAGGGAATCCATCCCTAGTCCTTACTAAGTATATAGTTATATCTCGTTACGTTGTCGTTATATCGATACGTAGACCAAATCTACCTTATATACTAGGTAGCGCTAAGAATTGTTCTGAGACGTAGCTAGTACACGTCTTAAAACAATCAATAGCATGTACGTATGCCTCGCGCAATTATTCTAAGACATATACCCTACGCAATTGTTTTGAGACGTATGCCTCGCGCAATTGTTTTAAGACGCGTACGCCGAGTGTAGTCGTCGCGAGTATAGTCGTCGCGAGTATAGTCGTCGCGAGTATAGTCGTCGCAAGTGTAGTCGTCGCGAGTATAGTCGTCGCAAGTATAGTCGTCGCGAGTATAGTCGTCGCGAGTATAGTCGTCGCGAGTATAGTCGTCGCGAGTATAGTCGTCGCGAGTGTAGTCGTCGCGAGTATAGTCGTCGCGAGTATAGTCGTCGCGAGTATAGTCGTCGCGAGTGTAGTCGTCGCAAGTGTAGTCGTCGCGAGTATCGTTAGAAGGCTCGTCGAATTGTTCTAAGACGCGTACGCCGAGTATAGTCGTTACGAGTAGAATTGTTTTAAGACGTATACACCGAGTGTAGTCGTCGTAAGTAGAATTGTTCTAAGACGCGTACGCCGAGTGTAGTCGTCGTAAGTAGAATTGTTCTAAGACGCGTACGCCGAGTATAGTCGTCGCGAGTATAGTCGTTGCAAGTATAGTCGTCGCGAGCATAGTCGTCGCGAGTAGAATTGTTCTAAGACGTATATACTAAGTGTAGTCGTCGCGAGTATAGTCGTCGCGAGTATAGTCGTTGCGAGTAGAATTGTTCTAAGACGTATATACTAAGTATAGTCGTCGCGAGTATAGTCGTCGCGAGCATAGTCGTCGCGAGTATAGTCGTCGCGAGTAGAATTGTTATAAGACGTATATGCTAAGTATAGTCGTCGCGAGTATAGTCGTCGCGAGCATAGTCGTCGCGAGTAGAATTGTTCTAAGACGTATATACTAAGTATAGTCGTCGCGAGTATAGTTGTCGCGAGTATAGTCGTCGCGAGTAGAATTGTTATAAGACGTGTACGCTAAGTATAGTCGTCGCGAGTATAGTCGTCGCGAATATCGTTAGAATGCTTGTCGAATTTTTCTAAGACGTATGCCTTGCGCAATTGTTTTAAGACGCGTACGCCGTCGGCAGTTTGGTATCGCGAGTAGAATTGTTTTGAGACGTGTATGCTAAGTGTAGTCGTCGCGAGTGTAGTAAGTATAGTCGTCGCGAGTATAGTCGTCGCGAGTATAGTCGTCGCGAGTATAGTCGTCGCGAGTGTAGTCGTCGCGAGTG